TGTTCTCTCCCACATTAGGTTGTTGCTGATTGTGTGTGTTTGACCAACGGATACCCATTATCTTGGGTAAACGACTGTTAATAAACACCTGTGTCTGGCTTTTGTGGTTCTCCACGTTTCCGCCACGCTTTTCTGATCCGCGCCTTCACATCTGCATCGGATCCACCTTTTTGATCAGTTATTCAAAGGAATTAAATCCTTCAGTGAAACTCCATGAAGTGTGATTGGGTTGGTACATGTTGCGTTGTATCAAATAATTTTTCTTATTCCTTTGTGCATGTTGAAAACTGTTGCTTATGAGGTTCCTGCTACACTGGTCGTCCTCTCTTGCAGTTGTTTTTACGTGTGTGACAGAAGAGCCAGATCATCTATGAAGTCCAGATCGTCCAGCTACGTCCTAGCTGTCCATTGGATACCGTGCTTCCCTCTAGATGTTGACGTCTTCATAATCCAATCGATAACCAACCTGACCTAACACCGGTATTTACTTCAATCGAATGTGTCAGCTGTCATCCATGCGTGATTTTGTAGTCTAATTCATCATAAGAATTTCTTATGATGTTGACTATCTTCTAAGGCACGCCTCAGTGCGTCGAAGAAACCTCCACAGTGTTGACCTGATAGTTCTATCAAATACTTTCTCGAAAGTTGATGTTAAGTGAAACACTGGGCCGGCCCAGTGGTCCGATGGTTAGGCTTCTGTGCTCAATACCCGAAGGTCCCGGGTTTGAATCCTGTGAGGTGCAGGAGTCGTGGATGCGCACTGCCACTGATGAGTCCCATCCGAAACGGATGAAACGGCCGTCCAGTGCTTCTAGGTTTCTAATGGTGTCCTAACAATGATTGATTGATGATTTCAAAATGGGATTTTGTTGTTTGTGTTGTTGCTATCATTTCTGTTCACAAGTTTAAGAAAACAGTAGATGAACTACAATCTTCACACAATATAATCAATGATTCTTACGAACAACATCATTAAATGATATCAAGGAAAAGAAACCAACTACTGTGATTATGTTGATCTTAATAAGATATTTCTCATGATAAGTTAATGTGAATTTCTCAATTTCGTGCTATTCATGTCTGGAATTGAAAACCGTCTATAACAAACATCACTACTCATGAATTATAAAATAATTATTGAATAAGTGTATAACAAATGTTTAATATGATGAGCAAAACACCAAATGATTTCTTATTAAACTTCCATAAGAATTCGTAAGTTCCTAGTGTTGGAAATATGTACTTGATTAGTTAAATTTTCTAAGAACAGTTTGCAAAATCAACGACACACATCTCATCGAAATTGGAATTCGTAAGATCCATATATCTGTCACATCTCAGAGTTGATGTTCACACTAAGACACAAATGTCCAATTACTGATTTACAAGAATCACACTTCTGTTGGTATACGTGTTGAAATACGTGTTGATTTCACATTATGAATTTATCATGAACTGATAAGTAAAACACGTCTGAAAATAAGTAGAACTTCGATAACAAAACACAACATGATAATTCTTTCATGATTTTTTTTCAAAGTTATGTAAAATATTTTCTTATACTAAAATACTTATCAGTTTTATAGTCATTTTTATTATTGTAGTTAGTATTCAACACAACTAGCTATGCATATGTATCTGTCTATGCAAGTACATACAACATAAACAACAGAATATGCTGAGAAAAATACACTTAATTTTTTGAACATACTGAACATCTGCTATGCTACACACATTTCTGTGTGTGTTTTCATTTCATTCTAAACAGTTACTTATTTTTTGCAATAAATGTAAATATCCAAAAAATGTATAATATTTTTTTCTTATTTATCAACAAACTAAACAGCAGAACAAAAAATTCGAACAAACCAAACATCAGAGAAACTTATCAACAATTGAACAATGATCATTGCGAAAAATTTTGAATTGATAATTAGTTTATATTGTTTGTCTGTAATGTTTAGTACTTTTTCTCTCTGTCTCTCTCGCGCGCGCGCACTATTCAACATGAATCAACATTACATCTTCGTATTTCAATGAAATCATAAAATAAGAAACGAACAGTGTAGAGAAAGTAGAGAGAATGAGTGAATGGAAGTAAGAAGTTTCACTTAAGACACAATAATTAAGTTTGTAGATGATGTTAATGAGTACTAACTACACAATGGTGTTGTTGTTATTCACATAGTATGTTTATTTATGTGGAATATGCAAATTTACACATATTTATCTAATGATGATAATAGTAACATGTGTATGAATGCTGAATTAGTTAAGCATTAAGCTTGATGTCGGTTTTAACACAGTAAATTAATTGTATGGTTTATTGAAATCAAAATATCAAAATTAACTAGGTGTAAATAGTTTAACTGTTAGATATTAATAATTTGGTTTATATGTCATAAATTACAAAACGTAATCTTTTGATCTAGGCAATTATCGATCATATCAGCACAGTGAGTTAAGATGAGATGTACAATAGAGTAATAACAGTAGGATATCACAGCATTCAGCTATATTTAACCGACATATGTCATACAATAACGTGACTGTTAAGTTAAGCAATTATTTTATTCAATGATTGACTGATGAGATAATTTATTATTGCTTATCGATATGTTCGTGTGTTGAGTTCCTGTTTCGCAACTCCAACTTCAAATTGGATGTACCAGACTATTGATATCGTTTTGGTGCTATACTCCTAACTAGTTATTTTAGAGAAGCTTTTTTGACAGAATCCAATAGAATTGGATATTTAACTATTGGTTTAAGGTTTAGCATTCCTAAAGATTACTCATACTAGGGACATAATATTCATTCACTTTATCTTAGTCCCTTATATGTTTATCACCGATTTGGTCTCGCTTGCTGTTACGGGTATGAAAGCGAATATCACTTTCCGGCTGTCCACACCGTGGAAGGTTGTTTCTTGAGGAACCAGAAAAAGAAAGTAGATTGGTGTTGGTCTTAACGACCTGGGAGTGTGACAGCAAAGCCCAACGGATAACTGCTTGAGGCTAGTCACGCACGGCCTTTTTATGAGAAGCTTTTTTAGTATTAGCTCCGCTCTTAAAAGCCCTTAGTGGGCACCCTTACCAACGGAGACGGAAATCCGTGAGGTAGGGTGAGGTGTGACATATTGAGGGTCGAACTTTTCTAACTCTTCCTCAGTAAATATAGTATAGTAATCATTCAAGTTGGTCGAAAGAACGTCATAAGATATTGATCAGTCGCATTAAAATCATCAAACATTTTAAACAAGTGTATGAAAGCTACTGTTCTGAATTCCCTAACGTGGACATTCAGCTATCCATTCAAAGTCAACTACACAAATCATGTGTTAACAGATTGTTGACAGTTTACATTCAGTCCCATTTAATTGGTACAAATATTCTCTTACCTAATGTTATTTCCAAACAAATAAATTTTTAATGAAACATCATTCTATTCTTTAGTTTTATTCAACTTTTCTGATTACTTAATCAATTTTTAATTATCAACTTGATTATTTTACTAAAGATTGATTAACAAACTGAAGCCAAATTTGTTTGACTTATTGCGAAATCACTCCAGATTAATAATTCTGTCAGGAAACGTTCAATATGGATTGTATTTATCACTCTATGCCTTAGTGTATTAGTGTAAACATATTTTTAAAAAAACGTGTCTTTTTCATAGAGATTAAAGATAACAATGTCGTTTTGTAATTTAATGTCTCGCCTCCAACTGTCCCAGCGGACATGATGTATTCTAGATGATTTAAAGGTCAACGAGATATCCGTTCGCCAACCAAAGGATGAGAGTTCTGCGCAGCAGTTCGCCCCGTTGCGAAACATGGCCGTGAAGAGAAGAAGATGTTCGTAGGTTGCTAGTTTTCGATCATAGATGTTTAAGAAGCATCGCTCGTATATCGTGGGACAATCGACTGAGCAATGCTGTCGTTAAGAAACGAGTTCTAGGTAAGGATGGCAGATCAATAGATGAAGTAGTGAAACTTCATCAGTTGAGGTGGTTGGAACATGTGTTACAAATACCTAACCACCGACTGCCTCGATGAGCTTTGTTTTGTAGTGTAGGAATAGGTTGGAAGAAAGTTAGGGATGGCCAAAACATGGCGGAAATCCATGAAGTCACTGACAAGTGGACTGAGTGATGTTGGTAGATGTAGGCTACCTGGTTGGGGTCCGCGAGACGAAAGTCACCAATGGTTAGAGACCTTGAACGACATGGCTCAAAATCGTTTGCAATGGCGCCGGTGGATTTATTCTTTGCGTTCTCTGAAATCCTAATCTTCTGAATTCATCAACCACTATAGTTTTGTCTTTCTAACCTTATCTCACTGAATTATACTTCTTGAATAATATCTTCTAACCCTAGTCTTCTTCATTACCATTATTACTTCTAGTATTTCTACTATCACTATGGGATTTGATTTGACATTTGCGTCTTTTTGCTAATGTGATATGGCAACATGAACTTATGTACATCCGTACGAACTTCTACGTTGCAACTGACTGACAACAAAATAACTACAACTATTTCTGCTGAAAATGTTCAAAGTTTTTTTTTCTATTCAGTTCAGAATAATATTACAAGTTTTCGGGTGTCAATTTGGGTTTAAAAACGTGATGTTTTAATGGTAAAAACTCCCAGAAACTATTTATATAGTAAGTTAGACAGAAGTTTCTTCTTTGATATAAATAAAACCAGGGAAATCAAAGAACACAAACCTGTACAATGATAGATAACGAGTGACACAATCATCCATTATTAAAAGTTAGAATGCAGAATCAATCAAAAGATGAAATCGACAGATTTCGTTTTTAAAAATTAAAATTCCCTCCAATAAACCTTATTTCAAACAACAATAACAACTGTCAATTTTTTTTAATGGGGTCAACATTAACAGTCAAGCTATTTTGAAAATCTTAAATGTACACCTACTGTTTTATTTTATTCAATTATACAAAAAAAAAATTTTTACTCTTTCAACTTACATATATTCGTGGTTTATTTTCTGGACTTGAGTATATATGAAAATCAGCAAATATTGGTACATTCAAATGAACTTGTAAATGTTTAACTGAATCCATCCATGACCAACCTTTTTCCATGCGTAATTCTTCAGTTAAATGTTTATCATAAAATAAACGTTTTGGCCATTCAGATGTTTGATTGACAAGATTAGCACCAGTTTCATTGGATGCATTTCTATCGAATAACCATACTCCATTGAGTAGTGGTGCAATTTTCTCCATCAATGGATGTGCACCAAGCCAATTTCTTAATGAAGTTGAAGAACATGAATCATAAAATTTTGCAACTTTATATTTTGCTGAATTTGGTTCTCCATGTGTATTTTCAAAAATATTACGTAATGAATTAATAATAGCATGTACATTGATTTCATTGAGATGTTCAATCATTGGTCGATCAAATCGTAACAAACGACGATTTCGTCCAGTTTTAAAATAATCTTGTATTGTATCTTTACCGAAAGCACTGGCTACAACACGATGCGCTTGTATAGATGGTTGTTCAGCAGTTTGATCTGGATGAAATGGTGTATAATAGGAACCACAAGCATATTGAAAAAAATTTTCACATGGTGATATGGTTTTATTCATATGTGATACAATGGAACTGGAAGAGATTAGACATTCTTTAGTGTAACATTGATTTTGACTTTTCCACAATTCATTTTGTGCACGTTTCCAATAAATCAATACTAAGATAAACATGATAAATAATAGAATTGGTCCAATTATTGAAAATAAATATTGAAAACGTTTAAATGCATCATTGAATTGATTTGTACGATGTACTGGGATTTTACGTTGTACCGAATCAACTAGCGATGTTTTCATATTATTTACACGTTCCCATAGTTGATTCTTTTTATCGGTTGTAGTTGACCCAGGTGAAGTATTCACAATGGATATGCCATCTGTGTTATCACTAAATACTTGATACTTAAAATTTTGTCCAACATTCAAGGAATTTGTTGGTGAAATTGATTTTGTATCAGTGGATGTCATGATGCCTAGATGAAGTTCAGAAGTTTAAAGATACGTAGTCTTTAATGTCTCGTAAAGGCAATTGTCAGTGAACTGAACTTGTAAGTAAACTCAATTGTTTCTTGCAAAATAGCAGTATGGCAGTATGTTCACACAATAATGAAAATACTAATTAGAATCATAGATTCAATGTCTATATATACTACTCATTTACAGCACTGTCTATACTCAAAACGTGCTTGTTGCATGTAGACTCAGACACATAACCAAACACACTCACTCACACACACACACACTAACACAAATACACACAAACATGTACACATTCAATGAATGATGAGTGCTATTATTTTTTTTCACAAGTCAGTAATTGTTCATGTGCAGTGCAACACAGTGAACAATTTTGATTGGTTAGTGTAACTGAATCAAAACCAAATTATTATGTAATCGCAAAACGAAAACAACACTGGAACTGTAAATATTACAACATTCGAGTAGAATTATTTAAATTAGTACTAGTCTAAAACCAAAAACAACAGAGAAGCAGTTTTTTAATTAACGAGACAATTATATAAAAATTGTCATTGACTAGTAGTTGAATAGATAGGTAGGTAGGTAGTAGGTACAAGTGTAATCAAGTCACGAATTACTTATCACATAATCTCTGTTATCTTATACGATACATACACAAATAAAAAATATTGTGTAATTTATGCAGTTAAAGTGAGTAATTTTGACAGAACACTCTGAAAGTAGTACACGTAGTTAACAATTCAGATTGTAGATAGAGATAAGCTTAAATGTGTTTTTAGACAACAGGTTTTATGTTTTGTACAGACCACTAATTAACACTTATAATTAAGTTATATTATGCTGAAAGTGTGAATCAATTCAGCTTAGATCATCATTGAAAACTTGGAAGTACTGGACGGATGTTGTATCTAAGTATATGACTCATAAGCAAAGCTTATTCATAAACTCGCGCCTGGGAGTCGGACTCAGGATCTTTGGTTCCAGTGAGAAATCGAAACCAGTGAACCTAACTTATGTAAGGTGTTGGACGGTTAATCATGGAAGTCTATGGATGAGTTTCGTGTAATGTCACGGATTTACAGAGGTTAGACGTGAACAACAACAGTTGCCGACTCAGCGTTTTAGAGAATAAGCTTTTGTGCACGAGATCAAAGATTCAAAACTCTACCCGAAAATATCGTAACAGTGCTCACTAGTGACAAGCTTCGTGAAGGAATTCTGGGAGTTCTAGTTGAGAAGACGTGACCAATGGAGTTCAACCGTGTCGGGTTTAGTAGGCACTAACTACCAAAGAAAAATGGCTGAGGTCGCGCGAAATCCGTAGATCAATCAGAGTTAGACATAAACACTGTTGGTTGCCGACCCAGTGGTCCGATGGTTTGTCGTTCGCGCACAATATCGAAGGTCCTGGGTTCGAATTCCGGTAGGTGCAGAAGTTGTGAGTGCTCACTGCTGATGAGTCCCATACCAGGACGAAACGGCAGTCTTTCAGTGCTTCCAGATTTCTAATGGTGGTCTAACAATCATTGATTGATGACTTTAAATGTGTAAAAACAATATTCTGCAATTAACATTTTTCGTTTTCATGCAAGCATCTCTGAATGGTTGGTATTAATTAGTCTGAGATGTCGTTATATTGTTATTTTCATACGATATTCGATTGAAATCTAAGTCGAGATTTTTTAATTCAAATTTAGATAGCTTTATTATGTATTGTCTTCGATAACTATTAAAAATTATTTACAGCATACGTTTATAACTAACTGATAAATGACTGATAACTATTCAACTCTGCATAACTATTTGATTATAGTATTGATATCTTGGATAGAACATATACTGCGGAAAGTATAAGGCAGTCTCTATGATGTAATTCTTAAGGCCAGAGTGAAAGATGTAGACCAAAAGACACATTGCGCCGAGAATTAGAGACAGACATGAATAGAATAAACAGCAATCGGGTTGAATTGGAAAGGAAGGCTTAAAATAGATTTGATTGGAGAATGCTAGTCAATGGCCTATTCTCAACAAGAGGTTACAGGGAATGTTGAGCACACATTAAAAAATTTTTTCCACGGGGTCAACCAAAGAAAATATAGGTCTGCTAGCGATAATGTTTACGACCCACTGGTTTTCAGGTTGTGAAGTTTTATGTGACTGGAAGTATTTGACAAATATCTGGGACCTAGTTTTCGTATTGGTTGTTACTCATCCACAGTGAAAACGCACTCCCTAATGGATTCGAACTAACAACTTCCCAGTTCTCAGTTTGATATATTAACACTAAACTATTCAGGCAGTGACTGACCTTCCCGTAGAATTGAGATATATTCGAACAAGATTGATACACTGAATAGTTACCATTGTTGCATTTGTGTAGTGTAGTTACAGATATTACTGAATTTTTCGAATAAGATATAGATAATAACACAAGTATTTATACTTTTAAGAAAACTATTTTTAGGCAAGAATTTCATTGAATATAAAAATTCTACACAGTTGGATAATTTTTAGTTAACCTAAAATCAAATTTATGTCGAATATTATGTCGATAGAAAACAATTTCGTTATTTCTACCCATTTATTTTTGATTATTCTGACCTAAATAACAGTCTTTTCAAAGAATGTGGAGATTAAGGTGTTCAATTTATCTAAATGAAGTTTATGAAATGTTTTTTTTCCTCACTGAAAAACCAACATTGAAATAGTGGCTAAATTATTAAGGGGATGATGAGAAAATCTTTTTTCTCATTTTTCAGTGAAGAAAAAACCAAAATAAAACGATAAAAATGTGAAAAAATTATGGAAAACTACAGGAATAAAAATGAACATAAATAATTGCACAGTAAATGTAGATGAGCTTTACTTTTTGGGAATAAAAATAGACTATATGGGCGTTTAAAATATTTTTATCTCACACTGATAAAAATCCATTCAGTAAATGGATTGTCATATCATGAAAATGAAACTTGGTTTTAGATGCTTACTTAACCCCTAGTGAACCATGGGTCACTCACTGACCAACCAACTAGGAAGGATTTGATTTCGACCAGTTTGTTCTTGCGTGCTGTTATGGGTATGAGGGCGGTTGTCTCTTCCCAGGGTGCCCACACCGTGGAAGGTTATTTCTTGAGGGACCTGAAAAGCAAGATAGATTAGTATTGGTCTTAGAGACCTGGTTGCGTGAACGCAGAGCCCATGCGACAACTGCTTGAGGCCGATCACGTACGGTCTTTTTATAAGAAGTTTTTTGAATGTTGGCTTCTCTCTTCAAAGTCCCTGGTGGGTACTCTTACAACCGGAGACGGAAATCCGTGAGGTTGGGTGAGGTGTGACATTTTTAGGGTCGAACTTTTCTAACACTTCCTTCCTTGTGAGAAGGCAGCATCGCTGCAGATGCTGGTTGTCCGACGGAAACACCTTACGGTTGTCACACCCCTCTTCAGTCAGTCAGCAGTACAATTTCGCCCTCAGACCTTGAGTAGCTGCTTTTAGTCTCATCGTTCTTCAATCGACCTGCCTGGCATGGTAGAATCTTCAGGAACATAAGCTCCGGCCAATATAGCTCGGTTGGGTCATCACGATAATGAAGCTTGGTCACCACGTCAAGGTAGCAGCTTCGGTCGGGCTAACCAGAAAACATAATTAAAACCACTGGTAGTTAGAGGGTTTTCTCTCAGAAGAGTTATGAAATCTCATGAAGAAAGCCGAAATTCTTCGAAAGTCACGATCAACCAACTATATCCGGGGCCTTCTTTTCCTGTCCAATCTAATCGCTTTTCATTCTTTGCACGTGTGCTTTCGGTTTTCAACGTAACGTGTCGTCCGGCTGTCCCTTATCTCTTTTGGACTTAAAGATTCCAAGCGATGGCTCACCTTGTGAAGCAGTTGGATGATTTCTTCAATGTGTGTCCTATCCACTAGCATTTCTTCCTAATTTCTTCCTCAGCTGGAGGATGCTGGTTTGTTCTCTCGCTCACAGAAAGTGGTCAGTAATGGCGTCTGACCATCGGATCCGCATAAACAACTGATAATAAATACCTGTACGTATTGGGTGATGACTTTTATAGTTCTTTAACTTCCCGCCACATATGGTAGAAAAGTCTTGATGTCCAAATCGTTTAGAATCATCCTTCATTCATCCTCCATTTTTAGTTACTAAAACCACGATTATCGACCTTATTTTTCATACCAAAATAAAATAGCATAACTTAAATATCAATCTGACTAAAATGTTAGTTTATGATTGTTTTAGAATAGACAGAAATGTTAATCACAACTATGTGATGAATCAGTGTGATACGCTTAAAAAAAATCTTATCACCTCTTGACTTCTTCAGGTATGTTTGTCAATTTAGAAAAAAATTCCGTAATTATATGATAAGTTCTAATGAATTCTATCCATAGCCATCATCTGATGTCATGGTAAAACTGAAAGTGAAAAAGCCTCTTCTGTTTCTCGAGATTCTGTCAAATGATTACCCATGTATAACTACTGACAGGGCAGTCCCATCAACTGCCTTTTTATGAAACAAGTGTTGTTTACGAAATTGAGATTAGGGAAAGTGAATGTCCGGCAATTAAACTGACATGATGGGTACACAGGAGGAGATGGAAAACCCAGATTCCAAATCAGTATGAGACATGGAATTCAAGATCCTCTTCATTTCATCGACCATACATAAGTCACGAGAAGGCATAAAGTAGGAGTCTCTTGTCTCTGTGCTTTGACATCCATTTCAACAAAGAGAGCAAACTCTCTTCAATCTCAATCGTACCACAGTATTTAGGAACGAAGAACTGTAAGCTAAGCAATGAATCAACTGATACGAAATATTTTTATTCAATCAATTATACAACAGCAAAACACAAAATTCAACAACTTTTTTTAAAAAAAAATTCAATGTTCCAGATTTTAGCTACATACACAAAGAAAAACGAAGAAAATTCTTCCCGTAATTCATTTTTTTTATTTATTTTCTAATTAAAATATTAAATAAATAATTTTTTTTTTCAAGAAATTTTGTCGAAATTCAGATCAACCGGATTCACGAAATCGCATACATTTTATTTTCGACAAAATAACAAATAGTTCCTTATCTCAGTGAATTTCAGAGAGGGAGATAGATAGAGATGGAAAGTAGGATTAAAGGGTTGAGTAAATCGCATTAACAGGTATTTACACAT